ATCTCAGTTTCCTTTATCAAATATTTCTCTCAATAGATTGAAATACCTGTCCTTTACCTAACCAAGCCACATGTGTCAGTATCATCTTTTATTGTTTATCAATCAATTGTGTAGCTGGAAACTGGAAAGCCTCATGGTTGTCTAATGTAAGATTGTCTTATCATTATGTAGATTCTAACATGAATTGTGAAGTGGTAGGTATCTAATAATGTATTGTTCATTAGTCATTACTTTGACTTACCTCTATGTTAATTGTTGATGCAAACTTTTCTGTTGGTATGTGAACAATCTTCATGTCACTCAATTCTCTCAAGTTGTGACCGTCATGAGCCTCCTTTATTTTGTATTCTGTAAAATGTAACTGGATGCCTTCACTAATATGGCCTTTGTATAAGATTGTTTGTTTCTAACCATACTTTGGTATTCATAACTTCTTATGAAAGAAAGTTGTTAACATTTTGAGCACCTATGAGCTATGATCCCAATGGATCTCACGACAAAATTGGGGAGCCAGATCTATGATCCGAGTGGATCTAGCGACAAAATTGAAGGGTCAGATCTATGATCCCAGTAGATCTCTCGACAAAATTGAGGGGTTGGATCTATGATCTGAATGGATCTCGGATCGGGATCCATGGGATCGGATCTCAGATCCATTTTTCCGGATCCAAGCACATGTCTGACCCAAAATGACTGCGACTCAATTTCACATTACCCATATCGGAGAATATTTTTCATTTGGCGGCGCCGTTTGTTTATTTCGTCGCGACGTCTCCGGTCGCGTGGTTGTCGTCGTCCTTGTGTTGAAGGTAAGTTTTTATCGTTTTAGTTATACTTAGATGTTAAAAGGTACACTGAAAAGTTTGAATATACTGTGATTTTAAATTTGGAAACACGTAAACGTCAATCAATTCACGTTTTCCTCGATTTGCGTGCAGATAAGTAACTGTCGACGAAAGTGGCGCCATCCGATATGATGTTTTGAAGGAAGGAGACACAACATATTTACGTGAAAATTTTTGTTTTTTTAGTGGTCTAAGTGCTTCAAAGAGGCTGTGAATGTTTTCTTCACACAATTTTTCATTAGGTGTGATGAGGTAAAAGGTAGTTTTAGTCTTAACTTTCATATAATTGACATTAAAACATATGATAGTCCACTGCTATCAGTGATTGAGTACCTTGATATTTGGCATTTCTTATTAATTTGAATGTATTCTCTATCCATATGTCCTGATAGTAAGTGACAATACTCTGCCAGTATGTTTCCATAGTTTTCAAATTCATTTTCCAGTCCTTTACATAACATTACAATTTATAATCAACAAAACTCAACTCCTTCGTTAGGTACTTCACAACACTGACAGCATGACAGACTGACAGTCAACAATTGTGTGTGTGTGTGAATGCTGAAACAGGATAGCCACTTTGCTGACTGGCTCATATGAAATACGATAAAAATGATCCTTTATATCATTTCCATCTGGAGGATCGGAGTCAACGGAAAAGGAAGGCCACTTTCAAGCCTCAAGGTCTAGGCCGCCAGACGCCAGTCGGCAGTCACCACCAAATTTATAATAGATTAATTCATTATTATACTTTGAGACACTTTGAGTCACTGGATGGGCATCACATTTTCAGTTTCAATATAGTTAAGATTTTTATTTGTATGATGTGAAATATTTTCCTGAATCAGAATTTAATTATCCCTAGGTACCTGGTAGAGGTTTCGGATTAAATGCTCATTGTTGGTGTGCAGTCAGGATTTTTTGACAGGTCCAGATATGGAATCCTGAACAATTTTATAGTAAAGTGGTCTCCTTATAATCACCACACATTTTATCAAAAGCATTTGCAGAATTCATTCAATGAAGAATTTTATCAATGTTGCACCCATTTCTTAGACGACCTAGGCTGCATCTCTTTTTAGTTCCTGTTGTATGACATATTTTCCATTTTGTTCCACTGCATAAAGAAAAAAAATCGATTGAGATCACCAAACACCTTTTCTTTTTCTGGCAGGTCTGCACAACCAAGCGGTCGCTGGCGAGGACGTCGGCCGTCCCTGTGGGTAAGGTCATCTGCTCAGCCTTTGTGGAGATCAGCAAGATGTCACCAAGATGAAAACTTCGCTGGAGCAGAAGCCGCTGACCCGTGTCCGATCGGGCAGGTCATGCTCGACGGCACGAGCCACAACTTGAACGACTCGGTGACATCAACAACATGGTGGAGCAGGTGAATGAGTTTGGCGACGTGTTGTGCGACTGCAAGAAGGGTTGTCTGCGTGTTCTGGCCGGCGGAGCGGCGACGCTGCGCAGTCTGTGCTGGCGGTGAGCAGCTGGCCGTGGTGACCGCGCGCGCCCACATGCGCCGACAACCTGTGCGGCTTCGACGGCCCCGGCACAGCCCGATGCCGCCCACTATGCGACGCCGACCGCGCACTGTCCGCACGGCCACACGGAGGTGTGCCCGCGCCTTTTGCCCGCACGCCGCTACCTCGCAGCTGGTCTGCAACCACGCCGTCGCCGCCTGTAGCCCGATAACAAAACGGCTGTCCGATAATGCCGCGTGTTCTTTGTGATGTTGCTACTGTGATGGTTGCTACTGCTGGTCTGAGATTCGATGTTTCCATTCGTCCTTTACATGTTAAGGATTTGATAATGATTAGCTTAGTCCGAGCTTAGGTCGTTTATATCATTTGTTATATGGCATATTTTGGATCAAAGCAGTACGACACTGCCTCCTGCTTTTGTGACGTATGCTGGCAAGACGCAGGTTCCGGTCGCAGGTCACCCGGTTCCAATGTGGTCGGGCTGGCATGCGATAATGTGATGTTGTTTTGCTCGTCTCTGTGTTCCACACTTGATGATGTTTGTGAATCTAACCCACATTGTATAGTATTTTTGTTTGTTTGCGGCTGATGGCCTTGTAAGTTGTAACCGTGGCAATACAGTTTTTCCTGCTATAATTCTCCAATATTCAAGCGTGGGTGGATATCTTTCTGTATTCACGTATTCCCTTCTCCCAGTACAGTCAGAGAATATCAATACAGTATTCATACGGATTATTCAATCAAGCCCTGTATAATTATTTGAGGTGTGCCGAATCCGAAAGGCGACCGATAAAACTACTAGCGGAAAATGTGACATGATGCCATGGGTTTGTGAAAAGTTTAGGTACCACGTAGCATGCAACTTCTTGCATTTCTGTTTCAACTCAGTAGTTCAGTTTCAGTTTGGTTTAACGTATTTCAACGAACATAACATCAAAAATGGCAGCCAGTACCGGCTTCACCTGTCACGGAGAACGCTAAAAAAATTGAGTGTAGATGCTGGCCGGCACTCAATTTTTTGAGCGCCAGCTGACTGTCGTCTGTCGTGGCGCTCAATTTATTGAGTATCGCGGTCCCGAACGACAAGTGGCGCTCAAAAAAATTGAGCGTCTTTAGGGCATTTTCTTTCCAAAAAACACCGATATAAATTATCACGGCGAGTGTTCGAGAAGAAACCTTGTTGCTCTCTCTTGCCATTGATACCTTATTTGGATACGATATTTGCCGTAGTGTGACGCTAAAGGCATTGTAAAATACCATGGTTTCGCCTATTCCTTCATAATGGGGCCCGCTCAATTTTTTGAGCGCTCAATTTTTTAGCTTTTCCCCCTTGTGTGTGGGACTGAAGCGTAGCAACGGACCTGACAATTGACAAGGCCGAAGCTGCAACATTACTTTACTACTCAAGCATGTGCATACAGGTAGAAGAGAAAGAAATCGTCACGAAAATAAACGCTCAGCAGCAAAGCAATACATCATTGCAATTTGTAGAGACAGTCCCAGAGCAGATGTTCGAAGTGCCAACCCCGGTTCCGTACAACACAGCTCGGCTCGGCACCGCCTGCGGCGCGCCACTTCCCATTCATTTACCGCAGCTCAGTTCTTCACTGGACTGTTCTGGGCAAATTCTGCCAGGATGCCTTTCACTTGTCTCAACGAATGGAACGTGTGGTGAGCGACTTCGCGCTATGCCATCCGGAGCTCTGATTTATCCGGTGCAAGGACAGCACCTGGGGCGAGGGTGATGCCCTGGGCTGACTTGATCACATGAAGTCTCTGCCGCTTCAGTGATTTGTAAGTGGTCATGGGAGCGAAAAAAGATGGAAGTATTTTTAGATTATGGAATGTAAAAATCACCAGTAAGTGTTAACAATACAATCCTTACATGGAACGGCTCAATTTCAGTTTCGGACCTCAATATTAGGACGATGTCGTTAGCCATAGGTCCCAATCCTAGCGGCAAGTGAACGACAGCCTCGGGAACTTTGCCCGCAACATCAGTACAGACCAGCAGTTGCGGCGAATGACATGCGACACCTGGCGCCACGCTGTGCTCTGTTAGGATGGACATTGTGATCATCCACTCAGAGCGGCAGACGAATGGAATTAGTCCTTTTACACGAATTCTTTCTAAGGCCTTAGCTCGATTTTTCTAAATTTATCTGGAAGACGATTAGTTACGGAACAGACAGGGGAGAGCGAGTCAAACCGTATACCCTGAACCAAACGACTTGCATCAATGGGCAACAAGTCGGTCTTAAGCTTGAGTAGTGTTCCAAATAGTCAGGGAGCGGCCAAGCATAGGACGTGCCAGGACACAACTGCTATGCCACGTCATGTCAGGATCTCTCGAGTATCGCGGCAGCTGGAGCGCTGCCGTCCGCTGCTGTGGGGAGGAGAGGCACAAACTTGACGGCACGAGTGTCGTCTAAAGCCACATGCGAGTGAAACAGCAGGTTTTTACTGACCGTGCCTCAAATGCAGGTACTTTCCTCGTCGCTCCTACGCCGGCCCCCGCGAAGACAGCTGACTACACGCAATATAAGGCATCGGTGGTTCAGTGGTAGAATGCTCGCCTGCCACGCGGGCGGCCCGGGTTCGATTCCCGGCCGATGCATTTTGGTCTCTCTGATTTTACCCGCGCATGCGCACCGCTGCACACCAAACTCACTTGTCTGCCGGCACGCTGGTCAATATGTTCTTGCTGAAGTCGACCGTCGTGACCTCAGCCTCTTGACCCATGGCAAACAGGTCGCCCGGAATCTCTGTCGCCTTCTGTCCGCTGTGTGACAGCAGCCGGCTGCTCTTCATCTGGGCAGAAGCCGGGGAGGGCGAGTCAATGCATTCGTTAGGCAGACGCTAAGATGGCACATAGGGCACAGCATGACAACAATGACCCACTTTCGTGTCGCCTTCTCACTCTCCCGCTGCGAGTTTGGTCCATCCCCACTCACCTTGTGCACCTCGTGCAGCCGGTCTCTCTCGGCCGCCTGGCTGTCGGGCACGTCACAGGGCCCTCCGCCGCCGGCGTCACTCAGACCGGGGATCAGCAGTCCCTCGACGGCCGCCTGTCCCTGGAGACGCTCCCTGCGCGAGACGGACAGTCAGACGACAGACAAGTGGCAGCGGGGCGCGGGGCCGCTGCGGAAACAGCCACAGCAACGGATGAAGGAGAGTGGCATACCGAACAGAGTGGGTCCCACAGCCCGGCAGGTGGACGACGGTCATCAATGTTACAAATGACCAGACAAACACATCCCAAGCGTGACTGTAATTAGCTCATATCAACATCCTCACAAAATACGGCGTCCCGATGTCGATGTAATCGACTGGGTGGGCGTCATCTACATTGCAGGCGTTTAAAATTTAGACTCAAGGTTATCTTATACAGCCTGAAACAGCCAGCATTTGGAACCATCCACCAAACAGCTTCAAATGAACAAAGCAAAAAATCATACGTAAAGCTACATTGATTGAATTTTCAGTGTAGCACTGGAACATTACAGTCATATTGCGCAGACGCAATTCAGGGCAATGCCGTGTCATTTTGCACTTATGCAATATGCATACCACACAGTGATACTGTATTGGTAGACAGGCTTCATGAAGGAAAAGGAAAATTATGACAAAAAATTGACAGCCACAACAAACTCAAAAATATGACGGTGGACAAGCAGACGACATAAAGCGGAAGACTGTAACCAAACGACATTGACTGCATTGACTACTACACATTCATTTTTGTTCACACAATCTGTAGACAGATGGAATGAATTGTTCTGGATTTCAATGAGTCAGTGATGTGTCAAATAACTAAAAGAAACATATTAACACAAACAACAATATAAATGTGACTTAAAATATCGCAACAAGCTTACTATCGCAACGAAAAACAACAACACAAAACACAAGTGTCAGAACGGACATCGTCAAATCAAAATTAAACATGCAGTGTGGGTACGCGGCGTTTATCAGTATCATTTCCATTCCATTCTACAGTAGATACTGATGTGAATCGAACCGCGTCGTCCCACAACGAAGGCGAGACAGTCAAACCTTACAGTCCTAAACGCTGCTTACAGTTCATCCCTGTTAGGAAAAAAACAGCTGTTAAGATATCGGTATGCCAAAGATTTGAGAAAGCACCGTACCATTAGAAGCAAAGCAAAAGCCATCAATTTGGCTGAAGCCGTTCGCCACAGCCTTCACGAAAAAGTGACCAATAAATGGCGGCTGAGATGCGCATATGTCAATTCTTTAGACAGGGAGATAGGGTGCAAAACAGGTCATCAGTCGAGCTGGGTCGGCCAACAGAAACGGCACTGTTCGCGGCGCTACTCTAACACTCAGTGCGGAGTTGGGGTGGAGCAGCTGGTGGTCATAGAAGCTACACACGGCCAGAAACTGCGGGCTTTAAGCCATGTGCCTCAGAGTATTAAGCTAAAGTGCGAATAAAACTATCAATCTTACTTGATTGAGAGGTCATGAAACGTTTATTGTTAAGTCATATGTGCCCGAAAAGAAAAGAAATGGCGAGCTCGGCTATGCCACTACCCAGTTACACCCACATTGAAGAACTAAGCCCAGTCCCGCCCACCCATTGTCAGCGAGATGCCTCCACCGCTCGGGGGTCTCACCTGAAGTGGCGCAGCAGCTGCTGTGTGCTGCGCGTCAGCAGGTCACGGCGCACCGAGCGCATCGCGTTCCCCTCCAGCTGGACTGACTTCAGCAGCGGCAGCAGACAGAGACGCAGCGGCGGCCTGTGTGGCCCGGCAGAGACAGTGGGGTCAGCATAGAATACAATACAGCGGCAGCAGACAGAGACGGAGTGGCGGCCTGTGTGGCCCGGCAGAGACGGTGGGGTTAGCATAAAATGCAATACAGAGGCAGCAGACAGAGACGGAGTGGCGGCCAGTGTGGCCCGGCAGAGACGGTGAAGTAAGCATAGTACACAGCGCGGGTACAGTAGACAGCACATACAAGACGTTCTTTCCGGCTGGAGTGTAGTGTGATCGGCTTAACTGCAGGTTTATTAGAGTGAAACAACTGACTAAAGAAATCGCTATCTAATACGCCATGAAGTAGCTGGAATGCTACATCAAACCAACGTAAATCTCAGCCTTTTTCAACCGTAGCACTAAGATACCTAGCGTTAATGTCTACAGTCACTACCACAAACTCCAAAATCGACTGTCGAACGCGCGTATATTCGAATGCAGTATGAGTAGAGCATGGGTCCCGAAAAATTCTTCAGAAACTAGAGAAATTCTCGCGGGGCAGGACGTCTGTCAAACTAGCAGCGAGCTGCGAGCAGCGAGTCCAGCAGCGAGAAACGGGCCATCCCGATTTAGCTGAAAATTTGCTCACAGAGCTTTCTCAGCACGCTGATTCCGAAAATCATGGTCTCTAGGGTGGGAATCTTTACCGTTCTCGAGATAGAACCCTCTAAAGTTTTCGACACCCATGACCGGGCCACAGGGGCGCGGGAACTACTTTCCAACTGGGGGGGCACACCATAATAGAGATCAACCTAGGGTACCCCCAAATCTAGTTTTCTCACCGGTTTTAGGCCACTTATTTTTCACCCCTCGGCTTTTTCAACAAAAAAAGAAAACATTTGCAAAAAAAGTGTGGTATTCCGTCTCAAAGCTGTGGGGGCACCGCCCCCACGGCCCCAGAGTTGGGGGGGCAAGCTGCCCCCACTGCCCCCCGGCTCCCGCGCCTATGCCGGGCCATCCCGATTTGGCTGAAAATTGGCTCACAGAGCCTTCTCAGCACGCTGACTCCGAAAATCATGGTCTCTAGAGTGGGAATCTTTACCGTTCTCGAGATAGAACCCTCTATAGTTCTTACCACCCATGACCGGGCCATCCCAATTTGGCTGAAAATTTGCTCACAGAGCCTTCTTAGCACGCTGATTCCGAAAATCATGGTCTCTAGGGTGGGAATCTTTACCGTTCTCGAGATAGAACCCTCTAAAGCTCTTACCACCCATGAACGGGCCATCCCGATTTGGCTAAAAATTGGCTCACAGAGCCTTCTCAGCACGCTGATTCCGAAAATCATGGTCTCTAGGGTGGGAATTTTTACCGTTCTCGAGATAGAACCCTCTAAAGTTTTCGGCACCAAAGACCGGGCCATCCCGATTTGACTGAAAATTGGCTCACAGAGCCTTCTCAGCAAGCTGATTCCGAAAATCATGGTCTCTAGGGTGAGAACTTTACCGTTCTCGAGATAGAACCCTCTAAATTTCTTACCACCCATGACCGGGCCATCCCGATTTGGCTGAAAATTTGCTCACAGATCCTTCTCAGTTCTCAGCACGCTGATTCCGAAAATCATGGTCTCTAGGGTGGGAATCTTAGCCGTTCTCGAGATAGAAACCTCTAAAATTTTCGACACCCATGACCGGGCCATCCCGATTTGGCTGAAAATTGGCTCACAGAGCCTTCTCAGCACGCTGATTCCGAAAATCATGGTCTCTAGGGTGGGAATCTTTACCGTTCTCGAGATAGAACCCTCTAAAATTCTTACCACCCATGACCGGGCCATCCCGATGTGGCTGAAAATTTGCTCACAGAGCCTTCTCAGCACGCTGATTCCGAAAATCATGGTCTCTAGGGTGGGAATCTTCACCGTTCTCGAGATAGAACGCTCTAAAGTTTTCGACACCAAAGACCGGGCCATCCTGATTTGGCTGACCCAGCAAACATGCCCACATGGGTCCCATATGGGGTGAACATGGGCCAGATGGGCCCACGTGGGACATGGGCTACAGATGCGCTACCCATATGGGCCCCATATGGGATAAAAATGGGCCAGATGGGCCAAACGCATGTGGGCTGGAGATGGGCATCCCATGTGGGTCCCATATGGGGTGAACATGGGCCAGATGGGCCCACGTGGGACATGGGCTACAGATGGGCTACCCATATGGGTCCCACGTGTCACCCACTGCCATTCCCATGTGGGACCCATATGGAAGAGGTGGGGGGCCCATGTGGGCCCCATATGGGAACCATGTGGGCATGTTTGCTGGGGAAATATTGCTCACAGAGCCTTCTAAGCATGCTGATTCGAAAATAATAGTCTCTAGGGTGGGAATCTTTACCCTTCTCGAGATAGAACCCTCTAAAGTTTTCGACACCCATGACCAGGCCATCCTGATTTGGTTGAAAATTTTCTCACAGAGCCTTCTCAGCACGCTGCGGCTGATTCCGAAAATCATGGTCTGTCAAATCGACCGGGCCATCCCAGTCAAATCGGGATGGCCCGGTCATGGGTGGTAAGAGCTTTAGAGGGTTCTATCTCGAGAACGGTAAAGATTCCCACCCTAGAGACCATGATTTTCGGAATCAGCGTGCTGAGAAGGCTCTGTGAGCAAATTTTCAGTCAAATCGGGATGGCCCGGTCATGGGTGGTAAGAACTTTAGAGGGTTCTATCTCGAGAACGGTTAAGATTCCCACCTTAGAGACCATGATTTTCGGAATCAGCGTGCTGAGAAGGCTCTGTGAGCAAATTTTCAGCCAAATCGGGATGGCCCGGTCATGGGAAGTAAGAATTTTAGAGGGTTCTATCTCGAGAACAGTAAAAATTCCTACCCTATAGAGACCATGATTTTCGGAATCAGCATGCTGAGAAGGCTCTGTGAGCCAATTTTCAGCCAAATCGGGATGGTCCGGTCATTGGTGTCGAAAATTTTAGAGGTTTCTATTTTGAGAACGGTTAAGATTCCTACCCTAGAGACCATGATTTTCGGAATCAGCGTGCTGAGAACTGAGAAGGATCTGTGAGCGAATTTTCAGTCAAATCGGGATGACCCGGTCATGGGTGGTAAGAAATTTAGAGGTTCTATCTCGAGAACGGTAAAGATTCTCACCCTAGAGACCATGATTTTCGGAATCAGCTTGCTGAGAAGGCTCTGTGAGCCAATTTTCAGTCACATCGGGATGGCCCGGTCTTTGGTGCCGAAAACTTTAGAGGGTTTTATCTCGAGAACGGTAAAGATTCCCACCTTACAGACCATGATTTTCGGAATCAGCGTGGTGAGAAGGCTCTGTGAGCCAATTTTTAGCCAAATCGGGATGGCCCGGTCATGGGTGGTAAGAGCTTTAGAGGGTTCTATCTCGAGAACGGAAAAGATTCCCACCCTAGAGACCATGATTTTCGGAATCAGCGTGCTAAGAAGGCTCTGTGAGCAAATTTTCAGCCAAATCGGGATGGCTCGGTCATGGGTGGTAAGAACTATAGAGGGTTCTATCTCGAGAACGGTAAAGATTCCCACCCTAGAGACCATGATTTTCGGAGTCAGCGTGCTGAGAAGGCTCTGTGAGCCAATTTTCAGCCAAATCGGGATGGCCCGGTCATGGGTGTCGAAAACTTTAGAGGGTTCTATCTCGAGAACGGTAAAGATTCCCACCCTAGAGACCATGATTTTCGGAATCAGCGTGCTGAGAAAGCTCTGTGAGCAAATTTTCAGCTAAATCGGGATGGCCCGTTTCTCGCTGCTGGACTCGCTGCTCGCAGCTCGCTGCTAGTTTGACAGACGTCCTGCCCCGCGAGAATTTCTCTAGTTTCTGAAGAATTTTTCGGGACCCATGCTCTACTCATACTGCATTCGAATATACGCGTCGAACGCTGACCGGTATCACCGCCGGCCAGGGGGGTTCGCTCCCGTGCCTTCAGCATTACGAAAAATGGCAACAGCCCGTGAGCAGCATCAGCGCTCACGCTCATGTTCAAGGAAAACAACGTGTAATTAACTGCTAACGACGGCCCTCTCCACCAATCAGCGTTCGGCAACTCGGGCGCTGATTGGCTGGTAGCAAACGCGTCATATGTGGGTCTCATTTTTCGCTATCAGTGAACGCGTTATTTAATACACAGTGGCCTATGGAGAATGGCACGCGGAATTGAAGGTCAGTGTTTTATTGCTTCGTACATGCGAATGGGGGTATTTGAGTGGCATTTGACACCATTTTCGAAATCTACAGTGAATTTCTGATCGACTCATGTATATATTTTTATGAATTTGACAGTATTAGTGCTACATAGTCGGTGTTTTATGTTGGTGTTGTTTCTCTCGACCTTTGTCTTGGACTTAAATCATATCTTTTCTCGAAAATGCTTGCCATAACCAGGTCTAAACTGTATCTGTATAAAGGGAATATGTGTTGAATATGAGGGGAAAGTAGTAATGACCATTCTGCCTATCAAACTGCCAGAAGGTGTGCTTGTAAGGTGATTGAAACTGCAGTACGGGTTGCAGATGTGGGTTTGACATTAGCATTGTTGTTGTAACCCCACTTGCACTAATAAAATGGCAACATGGGGTTATGTACACACTATTGCACGGCCTGGTATCAAGCTGGTTGATATGTGGAGGATAATGAAAGCATAAAAGAATAGGAGCGTTGCGTCTTGTGACTTATGCCAAGTCATTTTAAATCAAATGATTGTGATTGTAACTTTTACTTCAATTATTTTTGCAAGTTTTGACCTTTTTAATCATCAATCTTTATGTGTACCAATTTCATATGCCTGTGTAATGTCTGTGCGGCTTTGTGCAGTGTGCGTGTCTTGAAACAAACCAATTTATATTGTACCTTTTTGTACTTCAACAAATGTATGTCAAAGGACAAAAATGTCATGTCTATTATCATTGACACTACTACAGCTAACTTTGCCTGTATTCCTATCTTTCAGAGGCAGTAAATTCAATCTGCTTTCCAGTGCAGTACCTAGGAGGCTGCAACTGAAACTCGCACAAAGGCAATCAAGTGTCACTTCATCAGCCTACAGCAACAGCCCATCTGTAATCAAGATATGGATGAAGTGGCATAGAAGAACAACCAGTTCAAACATGAAAAGATGTATTTTGTTTTGGACTATTTCTTAGCATAACAGAACAGCACACTTGCTGCTTTTTATGTTTGCCCTGTGTGCAGTTTTGAATAATTTTAACTATGAAATGCTTTTGCCAACTCTTCTCTTTACATAAGCTTCCTTTGTCATGCATGTGTAATTTTGAGTTCACATGCATGATGTAGGCAAATGCAATAGGCATATTTCCCTTGGCTTCATAAAACTACTTTGCAAGCTTTTGTTATGGACATTGGTGCTACCTATATTATATGATGCTTCAGATGTGTCCAGTAGTTGATGAAGGGAGAAGAGGAGTAGGACAGCTGATAGCTATTACCAAAAATATGTGCTTGTCTGCACTTCGGGCTGTTCCATCTTATGCAACCTCTATTTACTTTGAGTTAAAAACACCTCATCTTTTGTTTCTTTCCTGTGTGGCCATTGTTTCCGTTATAAACGTCAAGTTTGAAGTTGGTATCCAAGTGAGCAAAATGTACATTATTTCAGTCCGTCTTGAATCATTCGTCTTGAACTATATCCCTAACTGACATCTTGTTATTTGTCCTGCAATGTCTGTGCCTGTGTCCGTCCTTACCTCCGGCTCCAGCCTCCAACCAGCCCTGCTGAGCTCTGTCGCCGGCGCGGTGTGTCGCAACGTGCTGTTTCTCCACTCCAGCCGACAGCTGCTAGGAATCGCCCTGTGCCATGCGCCATGCGACACAGCAATTGTAAGCTGCAGGTCACATTTGGACTGATTGGCTCCGCATATGTGCAATGTGCATCCGGCCGAGTGCTAGTCGATATCAGGGACGTTGGTCGGACTGTTGTGGCGGCGTGCATTGTGCTGGTTGAAGTTGTATTTCTGTTAGTGAAAAGCATTAATACATAACCATGGCTGCAGCCCAATGTTATTGTGGATTTCAGAGGGAGTGGCCAGTCAGGAGGGCCCCATGTGGCCGGTGGGTATGGATCCAGTGTCCAGTGGGATTGGCTAAGATTTCCGGCGATTGATAAACGCTTCTATGATAGTAAACCTAGTTCTATTGAGTTATGAGGGGAGGTGACGTGAGGGACCTGACCTTACTAAATTCTTGTGAAAACACGACACATAGGAACGGTAAGAAACCGACAGTCATTCTTTCTGCCAAGTGTCATCTTTCTGTGAAGGATTTCTTGGCACTGAGTGTTCAGAAATTGCGTTGTTTTTGGACTGTGTAGAGGCTCACGAGCGACAACATAGGTCAACAACCTGACGTACCTTAAATATGCGACTTGTACCAGAAGATCCAGCTTGATCAAAAGATTGGACATGTCAAATTTCAGCTCTTTAGCTCAAAAGAATTTTGAGCTGTCGTAAAAACCGTCAGTGTGGCACCATATCGCCTCCCCCGCGCGGTCGGAAGGTAAAAGTTCGCCGGCTCTAACTAAACAAATAGTCGTCGTATCTCAAATTCATTGACGGCGTTCGAAGCGTCGTTCAATTTACTTTCGAAACATATCCTAACATTAACATTTAACTGCCTAGCGCAATCTCCAACAAGCAAAAGTTCCGTGCATTCATCCTCATACAGTGTTAGCGGCCGCCGGCTGCCGGCCGCTGGCCCACATTCGCGTCATCAGGGAATGCCGCAACTAATTTATTGTTTCCAACTTTTTTCCCGGAGCGTTCTACCTGGTTTATATAGCCTTGCCGCCGGCCCTGCCACCAAGCCGATGCCATCCCTCTCCCCATGACCCAGGTGGCACCTCGCCCACCCGCACCTGTGAGGGAGCAGCCCACTCACACGGCCAGGTCGTTGTTGCGTAGGTCAAGCCGCTCCAGCCGCTGCAGGCAGCTGATCTCGTCCGGCAGCGCCTCCAGCTTGTTGTTGGACAGGTCCAGCGTCACCACAGACTTGATGCTCTCGACCAGCTCGACGCTCATTTCCTGGGATGGAAACGGAGGGTCAGACTTAGTGGGACAGGGCGGGTTGCTGAACAGGCAGGCAGACACACGGTGAAACGCTTGTGTGAACCATGGCATGTATTGTGTATTGCACACAACCAAGACATGTGGTTCACTGCAGCCGCCGGGTACCGTTAGGCCAAGTGATAGACGCATCGGTGGTTCAGTGGTAGAATGCTCGCCTGCCACGCGGGCGGCCCGGGTTCGGTTCCCGGCCGATGCATTTTGACCGGTCATCAACGCATGCTTCACAGAGACGACCTTGCAATTCGCATTTCTCTCTAATGAACGTTTATTGATCCCAACATGTGGTATTATCAAATAATGAAACACTTCCACCCTCAGTTGCCAGTTGGCACTTCCAATTTACCGGGTGTTCATTAATGAATGGAATAAAGTAGGTAGGCACCAGAAAGATATATATTCATCTCACGTTATCAAATCACACAATGCATTTTCAGGAGGGCTTATCATTTATGATGACATCATCGCGATCACCGCTTGCCACTTGTGTCTCCTACAGGACGTGCTCAAAGTAACACCTTCGCTCGCCGCTCGGCCACGCACGGTTCTGCCCGACGCTGTGTGTGCCGGACCATCTTCCTCAGCTGCTCCTTGCTTATGTTCTGGTGAAGTCCTCCACGACCTTCTTCAGTTCTTTGATTGTTTCCGGCTCCGATTCCATCACGCGATCCAAAGCTTGGGTCCAGAACGAGAAATCCAGGCAGGACAGGTCGGGACTGTATGCGGGCCAGTGCAGATGGCACTTCCGCGCGAGATCGTTGAACTTCGATCGAGGAAGGCCATGACAGAATTAGGATCTTCAATACCTTTCCAATGGACATTTTAGCTCTTCGTACGCCAGCCGAGCATGAGCTGTGGCATTTTTCCGGAAGAAATCCTTGACCTGTTCCATTTCACCAGGGATCATCGGCTGGTGCCCAGAGCGCACACATGGCCGTGTCGCTGCAACCATCCTAAATCTTTCCACCAAACTCTGAAAAGCATTCAGATGTGGTATTGCTGCTGGTTTTCTCGGAGAGAACTTAAGGCGGAAAGCCCGCCTAACCACGGTAAGACTTTCCAACCCGGCACACTGCTCCACAACCCAACCCGCTTGTTCATAATTGAACGGCGAGTTTGTCTTGAATTGCCGATTTGGGCTCTTCGAAACCAGAGCCATTCACAAGCGTTTGGAGGACACCGTGATTAAAGTTATCATGTATTAAAAAATGATAAAGCCAATGCTTCATATTTACAAGGCAAAAAATGCGCGTGCATGATTTATTGTTATCACGTGACGTAGCAACTTTATTCCATTCATTAAAGGTAGTGTGCCAGCTTTCTTGGACCGTATGGAGTTAATGGCCCAGATAAGGAGAACCGGATTTTTAGAACTTATCCATACCTTCAAAACTCATGGAAACGTCTTAAATTCTTCAAATTTTGAGTACCCCAGTGCGAAATTCGCCCCGACGGGTTGTCGGTCGTACCCCAACCACATTTCACACCACTATGAACAATAAATGCACACACTGAAATCGCTATTACCGATATGCTCATCCAATCAAGTTTCGATAAACCCGTTCATCATCAGCTCCTGCGGTTTCGAACACGCCTGTTAGGTGGTGCGGTAGACCACGCCCAAAGCCAGGGCCCCGGCAACGTGAGGTAGCCGAGTCAGGGCAGCGTGCCTTGACCCAAGCCGGAGCCGCGCGTCCTCCCGTTGTCATGTGATAGCCCGGGGCTGCCCGCGGGGATGCGGTAGACCGCGCCCAAAGCTGCGGCCCCGGCTTGGGTCAGCGCACGCTGCCCCGACTCGGCTACCTCACGTTACCGGGGCCCTGGCTTTGGGCGCGGCTTCTGCTCATACTTTGTGGTGCGGTGGTGGTGCGTCGGGCTGCGCGCTCTGACTTCGGCCAAGAAAAATGCGTCAGCTGATCATTGTCATTTCTGCCACTTGCGTGTGGTGAAATGGGGTCATAACTTATAAGACGGCTTTTTCATATCAATTATTTTACATAAAATCATATTTCAAACCATAAATAATGTTCGACAGCCAAATAAAAGAAACAATACCAATACGGGCTTACAGTTTAAGGCTCGACATTGTGTTGTCTACGATTAGACAGCTGATAACTCATTCCCGTACCTACGTCGTATGGTCGTAACACTATAATGACCTTTGCTTATTGTCACAAGTGCGCCGCATTCGCGATTGTTGCCCGACGCCTGTTTGCAGGTGAGCCCACTACAGTTGTTATACATATCTAAAAACCGATAAACTTTTAGGCGAAAAAGGCACTATTCCAGGCCCATTTTTGATTTTTTTGCGATATTAGGTAAAAACAGAAGCTTCTTATCCTAGGAAAAATAAAATGGGAAATCTTTCAAAGGTGGCACACTACCTTTAATGAACACCCGGTAATCAATACACTGAAATATACACGAACATGAGCTTCAGAGCCATCGGATGCACACTCTAAATCACCCTTGCAATGTTGCACTGATCGCAGCATCTGTCCAGCCACTGATGGTCAGGTGTCAAGCGCCCAGCTGCACATCTCTCGTCTTCAGCTTGCCGTCCATTCATGCCGTCACCCCCCAGAGTAGATTCATGCCGTCACCCCCACCTCTGTACCTGTATTGCCAGACTCTGGCGGATGGTTGTAGCCCCTACGCGTGCCATCACTCCAACCATAGACTCCTTTAGACTCCTGTTTAAAGGAGTCTATGCTCCAACTTATCCTAACGCCATTACACGATGCACAAAAGCCCTCCTATGAAATAAAAACGTCACATCCGTCCTTGCCATCCTAAGGATAAATCTATCCGCATCCCACCTCACGCTCCCTTTCCGGAATGGCGGTCACCCCACGGCTCACCTGACAACCGATACATGAAGTGGGGTCCACACCAGGAGCCGTCAAAACCCTCTCTGGGATGACCGTTTGAGAAGCGGGCGGCTGTCCCGACGGGGCGATCCAGTCCCATTGAGATGGTTTCGCTTCCAAGGAACACCGTCGGTGCTCAGCACAGCCCAATGTCTATGTCCTATCCTAATGCCTCATAGCTCTGCAATGGCCGAAAGAGCTTGTTCCCAACAAAAAAGAATAACATCACAGATCCAACAACACAGAAGCGATTGGCGAACGCGGGGTGAAGCGACCCACCATACGAGAAGCAAACGTAAGACCAATCAAAATGCATCGGCCGGGAATCGAACCCGGGCCGCCCGCGTGGCAGGCGAGCATTCTACCACTGAACCACCGATGCACATGACTAACATCTGAAATCACTTTTCCGTTTCAGGGCGTTCCGCACGAACCTCATCCAGTTTAACGATCAGCAAAAAGCTGCTTGTCACTGCCGATCTATAGTCCGTTCCGTGCGGCGTGCGGCCCGAAGTCGTGAAAGTCAAAAGCCGGCTCCGGGGTTTGACGGCGATAGGCCGGCAGGTCCACCTGCAATGGGTGCCCTCGCACTGCGGACTAGAGGGGAACGAGAGAGCGAGAGGACTCCATCGCCAAGGAGGCAAGTAAACTCGTCCAGGACCAGGCACCTATCAACGTCCATACGGCCTACCGGGCCGCCGCCAGATTGGCGAGGACCCGTACCATCCGGGCCTGGCCGGCCGGCTGGCTCCACCAGCTGACGGGGGATCGACTCCCGCCGGCCGTAGCCGGCGGAGACCGGTCAGCGGCGGTGGACGTACACCAGCTCCGCGCCCGCCACTGGACCAGCTCTACCCAATGACGCCACAGAGTCGGGCTGGCGCCCTCCCGGCTGGAGGGGTGCAAGCAGTGCGACGATCGACACTACAGGGCCGCGCTCTGCCCCGTCTGCCGGGAGGAGGCGGACACCCCCCAGCATGTCCTCCTGCGCTGCCCGGCTCTGATGGCCACCCGCCATCGACTGCTGGGATCTATCAACCCCGAGCTGGAAGAGGTGCGGAGCGACGTCGTCGTGACCCACAGGTCCCTACAGAGCCGGACGGTTACGTCTCAGCTGTCAGACGGAGGGACGAACAACAACAACAAGTCGTGAAAGAAAACCAGGAGCCCATGGCGTCGCAAAACCTGCGGCTCCAACACCTTAATCCGTATCGGTGGTTCAGTGGTAGAATCGAGGCCATACATAGGGTAGAATGCTCGCCAGCCATGCGGGCGATTGAAGATGCACCTTGTCGCTAGCTGCCCGCGCGCAGCGGCTAGGCGTAACTGGAACGAGGCGAGAGTTGTAGCACGATGTGACGTCTCTCGGCGAATGGTTGGGCAGGTTGAGGTAATGATGCGACTTGAAAATTCCTTAGAAAATATCCTCAGGCCCGTACGGCCGCGGTAGGTCAAAACTGCCGAAAACGTAGCAGCATGTCAGCGGCAGTCCAACGAAGTCCGGGGGTCTGATGGACAGAAAAGTCCTACCATCTTCGTCAGCTGGCTTACAAGGGGTTCCTGGCCAGGCACGTCAACCCGAGTGTCAAGGCGACTTGCCCTAAAGGCCACTTCGCAAATCAACAGCACGGAGCACTTTCCAACAACGCCGCTGCTGTCCAGGCCAAACTGACAGAGGAGCTCGGCGGGCCAGATTACCCGTGGATGAATGAGAGGAAGCGGCCTTATTCTCCCGACCTCAACCCGTTCGACTAAAGCGTGCCGAATATTCTGCAGTATGAGCTTTCATCCCAATCTTGAGTCGCTGAAAACTCGCATCATGGCAGCATGGGAGGATCTGAAAATGTCCTCCATCGTCGAAAGTCAAAACCAGCAACCGCTTTCGGCCCCACATCGAGACCGTCGTCGGCGCAGACGGCGGTTACATTGAATGAGTAGGTAGTGGAAGGGTGTGGTTAGGCGTCGCCGGTCATTAGCTGTAATTGTTGAATATGTTTGAACCAAACACATTTGTTTAAAAAATCCTGAAAAGCACCAGGACTTTCCGGACACCCAGCACACTGTTCACTCATCTGTCCACGGACGGATTGTACAAAAATCGGACTTTCGACAGTATCGTCCCATCAGCCTACTTCCATGTCTATCCAAAATTCTAGAAAAACTTGTCTTTTCATCAATCTACTCGCATCTCACTGAACACGACCTACTGACAGACAGACAGAGTGGTTACAGGGCAGGACATAGTACACAACTGCAACTGACATACATCACTCAGACACTCACAACATTTACAAATACCTAGACTCGGGACGTGACGTGACTGCTATTTACCTCGACATATCAAAATACTTTGACAAAATTTGGCATGACGGACTTCTCTACAAATGCAAAAACGAATTTCACGTCACTGGAACACTCTTATCTTGGATAAAATCATACTTGACAGAACGAACGCAACGCGTAAGAGTAGGAGACTCCCTATCCACTACAAAGACGATCAGAGCAGGCTGCCCACAGGGCTCAGTGTTGGGACCGTTACTTGCACTCATGTACCTTAACGGACTTAAAGACAAAGTGACCAATGACATCCTTTTCTACGCCGACGACACGTCCATCCACGCATCACACACAACGGAAGACATTAACACGGTACAAGACTCTCTACAGCGCGACCTTGACTCCATCGACGAATATGCCAAGCAATGGGCAATACAATTTAACAGCAAAAAAAAAAAAAAAAACGGTTCAACAAACTTTCAGTCGCAAAACACACCCAGCGATTCCAACATTACACTTCGCAGACTCGCAGGTCAGAACATTGCGACGAACACAGCTACACATAAACACCTAGGCATCACATTCTCCCAAGACTTAAGATTCCACACACATATCACTAACATCATTAAGAAAGCAAACATCGCATTAAGCCCATTATATCCTATTGCCAAACACATTCATAGAGACACGCTCAATTTAATATACACAACATACGTAAGACCACACCTAGACTATTGCGACATTGTTTTTGACGGTAATATAACTGTAGATGACGCATTACGACTAGAGAGAGTGCAGAATCGAGCGGCAAGACTTGTGACTGGGGTTCCCTTCAGGACTTCGACAGACAGACTTAGACAGGATCTGGGATGGGACACACTTAAGACCCGACGCAAACTACACAGACTACAGTTCTTCCACAAACTGACCACCACAACCCACCAACAACCAGAGTATGTCACACGCATACTACCACATACACGAATCACTGACACTCACAGAACTCTCAGAAATTATACAACACTAACACTTCCCCCTAACAGAACTACTAGCTTTCAGCGATCCTTCATTCCCGCCACCATACGCACATGGAACACACTACCCAACTCTCTCAGAACACAAGTATCACCCAAAAAGTTTCAGGATGGTCTTATAAGCCTCTTCGGCACACCAAAACCACACGCTTATTTCTCTTTTGGCTCAAAACTCGGCAACGCATTCCATACACAAATCAGGACAGGAAGCCTCCCATTAAATGCCAATCTCTACCAGCTCCAGAAACTCTCCACCCCTCATTGCGTTTGTCACAATGAACCAGAAACAATACACCATTTTCTTTTATCATGCCCTCTTTATCAGGAAGTCAGAGCTAACCTTTTCACTTAGCTTTCACTGGTCTTAGGTAACCAAATTCTAAATTTACCTCGAAGAGACCTAATCCACAATTTAATACACGGAGACAGTACCACCACAAGCACTGACGGCGGCCGTGAGGCCGCGGCGCTCTTCCAGGACTTCGTGGTCAGGGCGATGGCACTGCGGCGGGCGGCAGGGGCGGCTGCTGACTCAGCGGAGGAGTAATCTCACACTCCTGTTTATGTTCGCCTTTCATTTAATTTATAGTTATGTTGGTGTATTATGTTAATCCCGGCGGTGTCATGTTTTGTTAAGTTCTATTGAATGTGGAGAGGTGCCTTGAGTTAAGCTTTAGGCTTTTGCACCAATCCTATTTGTATGTTTTGTGTGTCTTTACTTTGTCTGGTCTGTTAAAATAAATGAATTGAGTTGAGTTGATGTGCACTAAGCTCTAGTAAATGGTATGATTGTGACCTCAGATAGACATCCGTGCCTGTGTCCAGTATGCTTCCACTCTTGAACAATAGGAGCTCTTGTGAAGGGCGGTAGCGGGACGATCAGAGGCGAATGGGCAACCACGGGACCGCTTGCAAAGTGCGGAGCTGGGGTAGCGGCAGCCTGACATTCTGGAGAGGGGCCAGCAGCAGGGTAGCGGTGACCTCCGACCTCAGGCATAGGAGAGATGCCTGACCCATGCCTCTCACAGCTGTTACAGCAAGCGCTGGAAATACGAACGAAGCTGAAGCGAGCTGTCAAATGTCTCGTATTTTAAGCACGTCACTACGCCTACAGCAAAAAAAAAAAAAATACTACAGGCTCCACGAGACGCGGTGGCCATTCGGCTGTTCACGATAAGGCGTGTGCTGTGCTCGCGCAACGTCTTCGAGAGACCCGACCCTGCGGCCTGGTTGGCCATGCGATATGTCAAGAGACGACAGCGTCATCGCAGACCGTCAGAAACCCCAGAACCGCTAAAACTGAGGAAAATCTGGCTTCCGAAATACATCACGAGCCTCCGTGGCGCAATTGGTTAGCGCGTTCGGCTGTTAACCGAAAGGTTGGTGGTTCGAGCCCACCCGGGGGCGGCTCGTTCTTTAGTCACTGGTTCTCTATAAGACGTTGAGGAAGTGTCTGCTCTCACACGTCAAAAAGGGACCCATGACTGCCGACGTTATGCCCTACAACAACCGCGTCTACATGGGGATTGTTGCAAGTTTATAGCTCCGCCCGTGATGTTGCAATTGGTGCCTATGATGCTCTACAAATTACAAAATGCTTTCTCAATCTACCAAGATCACTGCATCGAAATTATCGCAAAATAAATGAGCTGAAGCCTAGTCAAAAATGTTATGTGACCAGGCATAACGAGACCCGCCCATTTGGTTGGATTTCCCTCAGTTCCAGAATAATGCCCATAATTCAAGTTTATAACGGCAGAGGCATTACCAAATGTGTATCAGTACCAACTAGCGCAACCCCAGAAACGTCAATAACGATGGGCACGTGGGCGTTTACATAATGCGTTTACCGACAGTAACAGTGGCTTACTTACAACTGTGCCGTTAGTCTATTGACGCCAGTTGATTATCTCATTCCTCACGCGGTGACGAGCTGGCACTCTGCTAAGCGACTGACCTTGATCTGATTGAAGCCGACGTGGAGCTCTTTGAGCGCGTGGCAGTCGGTGAGCTCGGGCAGCTCGGTGAGCTGGTTCTGGCGCAGGTCGAGCACCTCCAGCTGGTAGAGCTGGCCCATGGAGGCGGGCAGCGCCGTCAGGGAGTTGCGCGACAGGTCCAGGTGGCGCATACCTGGCGGAGACGGCGCCAGGCGATAGTTCACCGCTCAGACGACAGGAAACAACGACACGAAATATAAACACCTGAACAGCATTGAACAAACCATTGTAACTTGTCATTGTAACTTGTAAGGATATCAAACAATGACACTCATACAATCAGAGAGTGATCACCAATTATTCTGCAAATAGATGTAGCAATGCAGCCACAAACAAAATAGTACTGTAGCCACAAAAACTGGTGAGATTTGAAAAATGCGCAAAATGCACACACATAATGGTGGAAACATGAACGTTGCGCTAACAGCTAGCGCTACATAATTATTCTGCAGCAAAAAATCGGCATTCATTGTCCGTTGAAATCACGAACAGACGAGCATGCATGCTAATCTCCTTTCTAGCAATGACAAAATTAGCACAATGGTACAGGGACCTTTATCGCTTATTTTCATTCACTTCAATTATTCGACAAACTCAACATTCAATCACACATTAAACATGTAACATTCATGCCTTTATTCATTCGAATAAACTTTATTCGATGCGACTGGAATCTGGGTACAAAACGTTTCCTAAGTGCATTTTAAACAGTCATTCGCCAGCCTTGAGATATGGAGGAAATTGGACAAAACGGCAGCTGTTCAATCGAAATTCAGAGCGATCATAAACCCAAACAAGTGGATAAAACAGATGCCTCATTCATGGGTCAACCCGTTGCATTGAATAGGTTTCTGGTTAAAAGTCCATCTCTGATGCCAATGCGTGCTCTCTCATCCAGCATCAAATTATCTCTTCAGTGGGCTTATGTACACTACCTACTTCATAATACCTACAAAAACACATGGCAAAGTGTTTCAGTTATAATTAATGTTACGTCCTGTAGGTGTGATGAAATGAATGGGGGTGAAACAATAAAGGTGAACGCTTTCGGGTGGGATTTGCACAGTGCACCATGCTGGCTGGCGACATACACGGTGCATCTGGTGCCGGGGCTGCCACGTGCATTTCGGACAGTGCGCGGCGTGCGTGCGGCAGTAGCGTACGACTTGGCACCAGCCACAGCGGGGCTGGGGCGCGAGGTGGGACGGGGACGGGGCGTGGCGGGGTGAGCCGGCAGTCCTTACCTCCACCGTGGTGGCCGGCGCCTGGGACAACGACAGCAGCGTCAGTGGCCGAGGCGCGCGGACGGCAGTCACACACACACACGAACACTTATACCGCCAACACATATGCGTGAATTACGTATGCATATCGCTCATGGGATGTTCAGTGAAGCACAGACGCCACCGCGGCCATTTAGCCCGCCCAAAAGTAAGGGCAAGCTAAGCTGTGTGGGCCTCGATGAGGAAAAATAGCAGGAATGCAGCATAATATAAGACGGCGGAGGCTTCACAAGCAAGCGATAATTTTTAAATGCTGTGTACGCTGCATTGCATTGCAATTAATGTAATGTTTATCCATTCATGTTCATGTTTTCAATGTTATATATGTTATGATTCTATGTTATCTATGTTATGATATCTATGATTCATGTTATCTATGGTTTATCTAATGTCCATATAGCTTATTTCTCCAACAAATGCAATTTCGTTAGTTGGGATATGAAGAAATTAATGTCATTCCTGATTTTCACCAGCGTCCTGCAGTAAAAATCATGCAGAATGCCGACCTCAGAGCTGCCGCCCGCCACGCATCATGTCTCGCTAGCCGATTAAATCCACGTTTCAGCCTACACCCATGCCTCCTGTTGTCTCTCGCAGCCACATACAGCCCTCGTGCCCCAATTACTTCTTTCTCCTGCTGCCGTCTTTTTGGCAGGCCGGGCGCCCTAACCACGTCTCTCAGCAGAAACCCTCTCTCCCACGCCACTCACTGGTCATGGAGCCGATCTCGTCGGGCAGAGAGGTCAGCCGGTTATCGGAGGCCGCCAGCCGCGTCAGCCGGTGAAGGTAGCCCAGTCCGGAAGGAAGCGAGGTCAAACAGTTGTGAGACACATCCTGCAAAGCAAATGGAAACATGTCAACAGTCAGTTGTTGGCTGGCAACGACACACCGGCGAATAGCGTCAGAACGGAAATTGCAAACCGTTGTGGTGTATTTTGGCTATTCATGCCCGATTACAATGCAGCATGAAAATTCGTAACACGTCTCCTCAAAGATCACACGTCATTCGATGCGAGTGCGTCTGTCTGTCTCACCAGTAGCTCGAGGTCCAGGCAGTCGCCGGTCTGTTCGGGCAGCTGCTCCAGCCGGTTGTGGTCGGCCAGCAGCTGGCGCAGCGTCGTCACGCCGAACAGCTGTCCGGGCAGCTGGCGCAGCTGGTTGTGGCTGACCACCAGCCGGGTCAGCGACTGCAGATGGCCCACCGACTCCGGCAGCGACGTTAGCGCGTTGTCGTGCACCTGCAGCAGCCGTGGATAGCTGGTGATCTCCTTGGCACGCACTTGCTAACAACGGAAAGTCAGGACAAGGCACAAACCGAGTCCTGGGTTTGAGACGAACACCGTAATTTGCGCTCTCACCGTTCTTATACGCAACCAGCGTTATTTTCTTTTACTGCATAAATAATGCAGGTGACGAAGCTTGTTCAAAATGGGATTTTAAGTCACCCCCCCCCCCAAAAAAAAACAATAGACAATCTTCTATCATAACCTTAACCCTGTGCAATAATAAACAAGAATTATTGAAAGGACAACACATACGTCGAAATCGTCCTTAGCATATCCTGACGGGGCACACTACGCTGTCAGAGCTCTCACATCCCGAACTAAGAGCTGACTCACGTCCAGCGTGGTGAGGTGTGTGAGCAGGCCGAGCTCGTCCGACAGCGCCGTCAGCCGGTTGCCGCAGAGCAGCAGCTTGGCCAGCGGCTTCTGGTCCCACCAGCGCTCCTCGCCGCCGCCGTCCATCTCCATTGTCAGCTGCTTGGCCTCCTCGTTGTCGATCTCGTTGATGCGCCACACCTTCGGCGGCACTGCAACAGGTGAGGTTACAGAGATTACAACAGGTTAGTCAGTTACAGAACGAGATTAGCCGGGATGGTACAAAAGCGATATTAAAACGACATCGCATTGCGTATGATGTTTGAATGCATCTTATGGATCATGGATTATATCGATAAATGTAATAGAAACTGGGGCGCAAGGTTATCTTTGAAGACTAATAAATACGTGAAAAACATAGGTAACCGTTTATCCAACCATAAAATCGAAGCATTAGCTAGGTGAAAAACTCATGTCGAAGCCCCCAGAATCAATAATATGAGAATGTTAATATTTTACTGGCGGAAACCATTGCTTCCTGACTGACGCCAGCGGTCCACGTTGTGGGAGGGGCTCACCTTCGGTCAGCTCGCGACTGGAGAGGTTCAGCTGGCCGCTCCGTCTCGCCGCCTTGATGATGGCCGGGTGCAGCTGGCTGGTGTCGCCCGGCGTGGCGAACAGCGGCGCGCCGCCCCCCACAGTGGCCATGCCGCGCGGCCGCGGCCGGCCCTGGCGCGGCCCGGCGGCTGCCTTCACCAGCGGGCGGGCCGCCGGCTGCCGGCCGGCCCCGGACGGATCGCTGGCAGACAGCGGCTTCCGAGCTGTGCGCGCCGACTGGGCTGCCGCCGCGGCACGCGCGCCGCCCGTGCGCGGTTTGGAGCCCGCTGCAGAGGCACTGGCAGGGTGGGAGGATGGAGGACGGCCGCCCGCCGCTCCCACCCGGGGAGCCGCCCTTGGTGCAGAGTCATTCTCTTTTGATGCTAGTGTGGGTTTGGAGCCCAGCTTCCCTGCAGCTGTATGTGCACCAGGTTTTGGTATACTGTTCGGTGGCTTTAGGGTGCGATGAGTCGGAATCCCTCTTGAAGCCCTCTCCTGGTTGAGAGCCTTGCCTCTCTTATCAGGATTAGAAGTATTCTCTTGCATTCCAGTTTCTCCTTCTTGAGACATTGTAGCAGCTTCAGATCACAAGTCTGAAACACATTAGAGGATGAATTAAAGCAATAACATTATGTTTGGAGTCTGAGCCAACAAAAAATGACTCCATAGCTCTCTTTTTAAAGTGCCCTTTGTAAATGACCATAGCATACAATCTCATCTACAGCATGATGAAGGAAAGGGCCTGGGAGGGGGGAGGGGGATGGCACCTTTATATAGCTGAATATGGAACTGGTACCTCACCAATTTTGTAGGAGCCAGCTAAAATGAGTAATTTCTAAGGCATCCCTTGCCAATCCTCAGGCAAAAAAGATCAATATTCCTATTCAATTATGCCCATTGGCTATTCCCAGACCATAGAACAATTAACTATGAACCAAAATGACATATTGACACAAAATTTGTCAAGACAACAAACTGCACAACTATCAGCAAAAACAGTTTTGAGTTCACTAGCATCTAGCTGGACCCTTATGTTGCCAAGGTGTCATCCTTATAATGTGCATTGATGATTGACCTCAGTTCTTAAAAGATGCCCATCAGGGTAGGGTCACTGAGTAGTGAGTACTGACCTAGGTTGACCTTTGACTTTTGAGACATGTCTTTTGTTAGGTATTTTTGTAACAAAACATCTTATGTCAACATGTGCATATTAAATAGACTTGACGTCATTTACCACTGATTTATTCCAAACTGGCAATGATCACGCCATTCTGAAATGACAAGGATAACACACGTGAGGACAAGGTAAGTAATAGGAGGTGACGACAGAACAAAGCTCAAAAGGAAACACGCATAGGAGGCACCCACTACTGTATCCCCTCCCGAGACTTTCAAGTCGAAAGTCTGACGCTGACATTTACAGACCCCATTCACCTATCAATGGGCCAATCCACCGAAATGAGGGTCATCAACAACCCATACGTATCACTAATTTATGGTGGCAGATGACACTCCAAACATGAACATCGCTCAAACGAACATGACCAACGCTGAAACGAGCATGAGCACCGCTCAGGTAAACATGAGCACCGTCCAAACGAAAATAAACACTGCTCAAACGAACATAAAGGCGATACCAAGACGCTTTCATGTAAGCAGGTAATTATCCTGTAAGAATGGTGGGGGGGGGGGGGGGGGCGGCTTGGCCTGGTGGAGCGACGAAGCTGCATAACACCACGCTCTGGTCCGGTCTCGCGTCGTGGCGAGCAGTTGTGGCTGTCGGTGGGAACCGGTGATGATCGAGGACTGTCGGCGTTGCCGGCATCGTGGTGTGACTCGGGAAGCGTTTGCGATGTGCAAGGCTCGCCCGGTGTGGTAGGTTCAGATACCGTTCGTGGCGGGGATGAAACACGCGGTCGCGTCGAGTGTGAGTTAGGATGCGGGACATCTGGCGGGCCGCTGAACCGAGGAGCACTGTGACCGTCCGTGGAGCGTGGTCCTGGGAAGGAGAGTGCAGGAATCGGTGCTCATGTTTACCTGAGCGGTGCTCATGCTCGTTTCAGTGTTGGTCATGTTCGTTTGAGCGATGCATCTTAGCATGTATGTAAGTCACCTGCCTGCAAATGAACACAATCACATCTCATAATAGAGGTAAAATCTAGGGACTAGGATGATGCTCTATTACCAGCTTCAATTGCATAAAAATTGCTAGCTGCACTCTGCAGGAACGGGAGAAGCGACGGTATTCTTTGGTCATTCGGGGTCTGACTGCTACTACCCCATCCGGAGTTGTGTCAGAATTTGGTGATATCACATCTTGTGTGCTCGGAACAAGGGTCACTCTTAGTGAGGTGATAAGAATCCCCAACAATCCTGGCCTCTGGCGTGCCAAGGTTATGGACACTGAAAACAGGAAATTGGTTCTAGACAGGGCAAAGCAGCTCAAGGGCTCCCGTTACGACCACATATTTATCCGAAAAGATCTCACATACATTCAAAGAATGGAACTGAAACAGAGGAGAGAGACCCTTGCCCAGTCATCGGCGGGGGCACGAGGCGGCCAGATTCAACCTGGTTCAGCTCGTGGTTCAGCCCAAGACCAGAGCCTGAGTGGTGAGGGGGCTGCTGTGGGGGCTGCTCCTGCAGCGGCGGCGGGGGCTGTTCCGGCAGCGGTGGTGGGGCTGCTTCTGCCGCAGCTCCTTCAGTCGACTCCAATCAAACACAGCCTGAGACTGGAGGAGGATCAAATCCTCCTGCTTCCAACTCTGTGACCCCCAGGGATGAGGTCGATCGATCTGATGGTTCAGAGTCAAACTAGCATGCTCTACAAACAAGACATATCACTTTGTCATGAAATGCTGTTTAGTCAATATGAAAGGGCTGTATTCCAAAATGAATTCCTTGGGTAACTTTGTTCATGTTAATGATCTTAAAGTGCTGTGCATAACCGAATCCCACTTGACAGCATCCATCCTCAGTTCAGCTATAGCTATTCCTCACTTCAACCTGCTAAGGAATGATGTTCAGGGTAGAGTGCACAAGCATGGCGTTTGTGCCTTTGTTCATGAGGATATTCTAGTGGACTGTGTGGTTTCCCCAATGAGTAATGCTCTTTTCTTTCGTTTAGCAAAGCAGGATGTCTACATCCTAGTAGTGTATAGACCTCCATCATATTCAGACTATGAGAACGAGGCTTTAGCCCATGCATTGGAAGAGTTAGTTTGTGGAAAGGAAGTAATTGTTGTTGGAGATTTTAATCTTCCTAACATTCATTGGAAGTCTAACAAAGAGCTCCCATCCCTTATGGTTCCACCATTAGAATCTATGTTTTTGAATGTCTTTATCGCTCTGGGACTGACCCAATGGGTAGTCGAGCCAACGTTTCCGAGTTCAGGAAATACCCTCGATCTTCTGCTAACCTCCAATGACGACCAAATCGGAAATGTTACGGTCCTCCCTCCACTGCCTTCTTGTGATCATTGCCCGGTTTTGTTTGAATTCGTGTTTCAAGGTGACTTTGTTTCTGATTCGTCCCCAGGAGCCCCAAGGTATGATTGGCACAAAGGCAATTATGACAGGCTAAACGACCTAATAGCTATGATTGACTGGGACTTCGAATTTGATTATCTTAGTGTATCCACTGCTGTTGACAAGTTCACTGAGACCCTGACCTCCCTGGTTACTCAGTGTATTCCCCAGTGTAAGACTGCTCGCAAGGATAAGCCACCATGGAGAACCAGGCCCCCGAGAGGACTGTTGCGTCGTAGACAGGAGGCATGGGAGGGTTATAAAAGAGCCAGATTACGTTGTGGTCGTAAATCGGTTGTAGCCCTTGAAGCATATTCTGCTTTTGCTGCTGTTAACAAAAGTGTGCATAGTTTCGAGGCAAAATCTCAGGCAGACTATGAACACAGTCTCATTGATAGGTTTAAAGAGAATCCCAAGCTGTTACACTCATATGTGCGCTCAAAAAAGTCTGTTCCGTCCTCCGTGGGTCCCCTGAAGCTTTCAAATGGAAAACTTTGTTCTGATCTCGCAGCCATGAGTGAATGCTTGGCTTCATCATTTGCAGCTGTTTTTTGTCAGAATGTCCCATCTCTTCAAGAGCCACATCAGTTGTATGAAGGTCACATTGATATGTTACATCTGTCTATTGACGTGGTGAAGTCCGAGCTTTTATCCCTCGATGTCAATGCTGCTATGGGTCCCGATGGTATCCACCCTATGGTACTCAGGAGGTGTAGTGAATCCTTGGCCTATCCGCTCTTTGTGATTTTCTCCAAGTCACTCGAGGAAGGGACAGTTCCTGTGGCTTGGAAGAGCTCAACCATTATCCCTATTTTTAAAAAGGGGCATCGTTTCGAGCCACTTAATTATAGACCAGTGAGCCTTACCCCTGTTTGCTGCAAAACCCTGGAACGCATCATTACTAGCCACTTGCGGCTCTATCTAGAGGACAATGATCTTCTTTCTGATCATCAGTTTGGGTTTCGCCAAGGGAGATCCACTGCAGAGCAACTTCTTTTGGCTTACGACGAGATCGCGGACCTCATGGATTCTGGATATGTTGTGGACTTAGTGTTGTTCGATTACAGTAAGGCTTTTGATATTGTTTGCCACAAAGTCCTGTTAACGAAGCTCCAGTCTATTGGCATTACCAGTCAGCTCTTAACATGGATAGCATCATTCCTATCTGGCAGGGAGATGAGAGTGTCTGTTAGCGGACATCTCAGTGGCCCCAGACCTGTACACAGTGGTGTGCCTCAGGGTTCGGTCTTGGGACCGCTACTTTTTTTGGTCTATATAAATCACATTGGCTCCAAATTGATATCAAAGTACAAGATATTTGCAGATGACATCAAGATTTATTCCGGTGTGAAGTATCCTCGCGGACATTGCCCGACTGTGATTCCATCTGTTCAGAATGATATAGACTTGTTGGTCAATACGTCTGTATCATGGGGTCTCAAGATTAACAGAGAGAAATGTGCAGTCCTACGTTTCTCGAAAGCGCCACCTTCATACTCCCTCGAGGGTAGTCCCCTTCCTGTCTGTGACTCACACGGTGACCTTGGTGTCCTGGTGGACACAAGGCTTAGATTTCACGAACACATCGGATCTGTTGCACACAAAGCGTCTGGTTTATGTTACAGTTTTCTCAAGTCAACTGTCTGCCGCTCATCTGATTTCATGTTGTTCCTCTTTAAAACTCACATAAGACCACTGATAGAGTATGCTTCATGCGTGTGGAACACTGGCTACAAGGGCGATATGGTTAAACTGGAACGTGTGCTAAGGATGTGGTCTAGACATATAGATGATTTGCAGAATCTGAATTATGAGGAGCGTCTGCGAAAACTTGATATGTATTCAGTCGCAGGAAGGCTTCTGCGCGCAGACTTAATCCAATATTGGAAAATATTTAATGGTAAAAGTCATATAAAACCTGAGACGTTTTTCTCTCGTCCATTACACGGCTGCACTCGAGGCCATTGTTACAAGATACGCGTGCCACATGTTACACTAGATGTTCGTCGTCGCTCTTTCTCCATCCGATGTATACACATCTGGAACGGCCTCCCAGAAAACGTTGTGACCGCACCTGACTCAACTAGCTTTAAGAGGGCCTTGGCCGATGCGATTCGTGACGAACTGTACCAGCCTGCGGAGTAGTTGATGATGAGCAACTTCGTGTCAAATATTCTTGATTCACATGTATTTTTTCGTATGAGCTATTTATGTGGATGCTATAACTCCAGTTGCTATGTAACCCCTCTATACTCGCGAATTCTTATCTCAACTGGCGCATCCTTTGATCCTGGGTTCCCTTGCCTTGACTATCCTTAGGGCTGTCAGGCTTGGTGAACCCTACCAGGTGAGAATACCAGGTGAGAATGCAGGTTATTAAAGCCCAAACTTTGTTCTCACTTTCGACCAAACCGTACCTAATCAGTAATCATTAATTAAAAGCTATGAAGCTGACATGAAATTAAAATCAACTAGGCTCACTGGCTTGGTACAGGTTCACTGGCAAAAGTGTGGATGACATAGTGATGATAAAAAAACAGAATCTAACCTGATCTAACCTTACCTACTGCACTACAACCTTGAACTTATCAACCTACAACCTACCAACCTTCAACCTATAACCAACCATACCATCTACACATATACTTGTTCACCCAAGCGGTTCACCTAAATTTTTCCAGATCAATGGCCACCGTTTTCATACAGCTTGTCACACTCTTGACTCATTAGGAACTGGCAAGCCTACTGCTATGACAACAAAGCCAGTGATTTTCTGTTGACAAGGTTAATCTCACATGATTATGATGAATAAATTGAAATGCTTCAAATGCAATGCAACAAAAACAGCCCAAATTAAGTCTCAGTTTTTAGGTCGGGCACAGACTTGACAGACAGACTGTTGCGGGTGTTTGATGCTGTTCCGTTGAGCTTACATGCGAATTGTTTGGAGATGCCTTGCATGGCAGTGGACTTGTGAGACATTTGGCGATGATAGTGCGTGGCCGGGGGGGGGGGGGCAGGGAAGAGTTGTGACGAAATGATTGATGAAGTGATGAAGTGGCAAAATGTTGTGTAATGTGGTGTAGGTATGATTTATGCCTGCAATGTGTCGCTGTTTTGTGCCAACTTCACACACATAAGTTAGGGAGAAAAGCGGAAAGGTGGCACGCATTTTGACAGACTGTGCAAATGTGCAACCAAGTATGGGCCCCAGTGGCTCTTTGTTGTACTGCAAATTTATGTCTTTATGTCTTTATGACTCCAGCCATTATAGAGTTTAGTACTCCAGCCACAATATGGTATTAGGTATACATATTACATGTACATCCATCCAGAATGAAAATTAAAATGCTTTTATTGAACAATTTTTCCCATTTACTTCGAAAAATGAGAACAAAAATGTACTTATCACATCCAAGCAAAACAATGCTCAAGGTTTCGCTAATTTTGTATTGGTAGGTACAGCTCGTAGCCTACTAAATTTAGTGACGTCATAAGCCCATCATCCATCAACTGGCCATCAACCTCGATTCCAATTTCCAAACATGTTTCGAACAAAAAACCCTATCAAAATGATTTGATCTACCATTTCAAAATATTTATATTAGCTACGTTCCCCCAAAGGCAGCATGATCCGAAGCGGCATTTCCCGTCATATGACCTCTCGGAGAAAGCCCGTCTGGAAACTGAAGGCTGTGACTTGTGAGACTGAGAGAAATGTCATCGGATAGGTATATTTGAAGCAATATAAAGACGCGGGCAGCAATGCCGGTCACACACCGTTCCGTGCTTCTATCCTCAGGATACTGAAATCCTTCTCTTCCACGCCGCAACCCCCCTCCGGGCTGGACAGGCAACTTTATCTCATGCGGGCTGCTCCCTTGGAGCGGCACCGCTGCTCCCGAGGGAGCGCACCCCGTAGCCGGGTGCAGTGAGTACCTTGGGGCTGGTCGGCCTGTCCTTCAGGATGGGCTCAGCCCCGGTGACTCACCAGGGTGCCTGCCCAGACCAATGTCTTCCCCCTAATTCCTATCATCCCATAGGCGCGGGAGCCGGGGGGGCAGTGGGGGCAGCTTGCCCCCCCAACTCTGGGGCCGTGGGGGCGGTGCCCCCACAGCTTTGAGACGGAATACCACACTTTTTTGTAAATGTTTTCTTTTTTTGCTGAAAAAGCCGAGGGGTGAAAAATAAGTGGCCTAAAACCGGTGAGAAAACTAGATTTGGGGGTACCCTAGGTTAATCTCTATTATGGTGTGCCCCCCCCCCCCAGTCGGAAAGTAGTTCCCGCGCCCCTGTATCATCCTTCCGGCTCTGAAATGGTCTAATTGGACCGCAAAGGGCCTAACCCAACAAAACAAACAATGCCGGTCGCACCTGGTAGATCCGTTCTTTTCAGTAGAGGCCAGAGGGTCGGCAGACTGAATGAGTTAGCATTACAATGAACGGGACTAAGGTAAAGTGTTTTTTATCGAGGCCGTATTAATTATTTGAAAATATAAGGCCGTATTAAGTTTTTGATGTGGACGAACCTAAAAAAGAAATTGCATTTAGGGCCTTGGAAAGTGCCAAGCAACGCCCAGCCAGCCATTTGGTTTGGCTCAATTCCGTTTTGCCCCGGCAACTCCGGTATGCCAGCAGCCGATGTAGGCTGGTGTAATAAACGGAATGCCGCCGGAACAGGGGTTTGCGTCGATATGACTCTGATGGCTCTATATCGGTTAGCCAGTCTTCGCCGTAGCGCTGCGGAGTTGGTATGCTTTCGAACCGCGAAGTCCGGCTCCCTGCCACGCCACGGCGTGCTACGGTCGGGTCCGGTTGCCTCGTACATATCCTAGCTGTTCTGGCTTACTGTGGCTGAAGTACGTACGGTTGAGGTACATACGACACGGCTGATACGGCCTAAGTCTAGCCGTGGTGCTGGCGAGCTTTGGGATCAAGTGTCAGCAGCGGCGCCGCCACGCTTTCATGAGCACTACGTACACCCGCATGCAGGTTAGTGGTAGGCTCAGGCACGACACCCAGGGTGGGATGAAAATTTCCCCAAGTTCCAAGGTGCCTATTTATAACATCACCAAAACCTGAAAACTCTCTGGATTCGTCAGGGCATATTTTAAGGCACTTACTGCGTCCCATTCTGGGACGCAGCCCCCTCGCCTTGGGACGTAGCCCCTGCTGATTTGACCCACTGCGTCCCTGCCCTGTGCCGTCCGGTTCCCTGACCTATGCCCTGCTGGGTGCCCTGACCTGTATCCTTCCCTCTAAAATGTCCTGTGCCATGCCGTGTGACTTGCCCTGCCCTACTTTCTGCCCTCCTCAGTGCCCTAGTCTGTTCCTTGCCCTGTGCCCTTAGTCATAGCACGTGCCCTCTGCTCAACTTTGGGACGCAGTTAAAAATTGTTAAAATATGCCCTGGGATTCGTCCCACTGATTGTCGAGAAGTCAACATTTTCATTAAAATAATACAAAATGAGTAAAACGAATGATCTAATAAGCACCCAGCTGACCAAGGGAAAGACGGCTGTCTCTGCCGTCCCTCCCTTGGCTTCGAACCGATTGCAGTCTGCAGAATGATGTATGTAGTTACAGTTGCACTTACACTATGGGGGCCTGGGGCAGAAGCATGCCTTTCCAGCCGGCGAGTTTGTGATGGTGAAAATTTTCTTCGGGACCACCTTCATAAATAGCAATTTCGACTGTTATTTGAAAACATTTGTACAACTATTCTGTAGTCAGATTAATCCGAAGTCCTACTTAATCCTTTTGTCTGTTTAGTCGAAATGGCTTGAATACAATAAACAAAACAAAGCAACTCAGATTCAGACGCTGTATTTTCATGTTACCTATATGTACATACATTGGACACTGCCTTTCTGTTGGGCGTCGAGTTACACCAGGTAGGTACACTGGCGGATCCAGGGGGGGGGGCAAACCGGGCCAAAATCAGGTTGGGGGGGGGGCTAAAATGGGATTTGGCCCCCCCTTTCTGCAACTGATTTCGTCCCTGTAAAATCGCCTCTGGGACGCGATCGGCAAACATGCATGCTAGACAAACTACTCAGTGCGTCGTCCTCACAACTCCGTGAATACTCGAGGGCAGCGCTTTTCGAGGAGCGCTGTGGCCCGAAGGTTTGGACTTTGAATTGTGAAAAACGCCCGCCCGCCGCAAAACGCAAACACCGCAAAACGCAAACACCGCACAACGCGCAAAACGCACGCCCGAAACGCCAACGCAAAGGTCTCAAAAAATAAACAAACGCCCGCCCGCCGCAAACCGCAAATAAAAACACCGCAAAACAATAAAACCGCCCGCATCGCACGCCCGCTAACCGCCAACCGAAAACGCCTAAAAATCGCCCGCCCGCCGCCAAAAGCAAACACCGCAAAAAACGAAAAAGCGGCCGCCAACCGCAAACAAATTTAACACCGCAAGCGACGCAAAAAAAAGAAAACCACCCGCATCAACCACCCGCCCACCCGCCGCCAAAGACAAACACCGCAAAAAAACGCAAAACGCCCGCCCGCCGCAAAACGTAAACACCGCAAAACGTGCAAAACGCACGCCCGAAACGCCAACGCAAACGGCGAAAAAAAATCTCCCGACCGCCGCAAACCACAAAAAAAAACGCCGAAACGCCGAAAAAATAAAACCGCCCGCACCGCACCGACGCTAACTGTTAACCGAAAACGACTAAAAGTCGCCCGCCAGCCGCCAAACGCAAACACCGCAAATAAGCGCCCGGCCGCAGCAAGATAATTTATCAACGACTGGCATACCGTTAGGTTGGTCATTTTCGCAAATCAAAAAGATATCTGCAAAAATCTCCTAGATGAAAGCGCCCGAGTAAAAAACGGATGGCACGTGCGTGTTCCTCGCCCCCAACTTCCTTCAGGTCAATCGTCATTTGGGTCACCTAACGCATTGACGACCGGCTGGGTGGAATGAACATTGCGCCAAGAAACGTAAGTATATTGTCAAAAAGAATCCCCAGAATGGTGGATCCCAAAAGTTTGAAACTTCCACTTTGACCCACTGGACGACACCTTAAACAGTTGCCGACCGGATGACACACATTGTCATAGGCGCGGGAGCCGGGGGGGCAGTGGGGGCAGCTTGCCCCCCCAACTCTGGGGCCGTGGGGGCGGTGCCCCCACAGCTTTGAGACGGAATACCACACTTTTTTGCAAATGTTTTCTTTTTTGTTGAAAAAGCCGAGGGATGAAAAATAAGTGGCCTAAAACCGGTGAGAAAACTAGATTTGGGGGTACCCTAGGTTAATCTCTATTATGGTGTGCCCCCCCAGTCGGAAAGTAGTTCCCGCGCCCCTGCACATTGTTTGGTCACCCACGCCATACTATGCATCATGGGTGCGCCGAAATGACCAAAAGTCCCAATTTCCGGTGTGCAGGGTCATTTTCAACGGCACGTGGCACGTGGTTCTGGACTTTTCCGGCCACTTTGCGACATACCCATGGGTAGTGCACCGAATGGTGGTTGATCCGCATGGAAGAAAATGGGGGGTCGTTTGGATCGTTTTCGAGCAATCTGCCGTGGAACGCATTTTTTCATTTTCCCCATTGGCTTAACACGGGAATTTTCAAAGTCACGTGGCACGTGCACCAGATGGTCCGCGGAGGGGAGACCCATACCAGAACGTAGATCACCTGGCCCACTAGAAATCCTGAAAAAATCAGAATTTTTGGAGCAGCCGTTTTCTAGAGCATCAAGTTGTACTGATCTCAGGCAGCTTTTGCCAAATTGTCAGGGAACTCAGATTTGTTT